TGTTGTTGTTGTACTTGTTGATGTGCGTGAAGACACTCCTCATTGCAATGTTTTTATTCGCGCAAGTGACATGAAAAACATCCCGCGAGTAATCTAGAGCAAGTAACTTGATGAGAATATTTCCCTTTTGGTGTGCACACACCATTAGTTTGTCACATGCACACACATTTAGAAACCTATTTACTTTCGTACAAATGTTTTTTTTAATAAAATAGAGGCAAATAATAGTGTAAGTGTACACATAGAGATGGAGGGTCCCCTGAGAGTCCTCCACAGTACAGTGCGGCCGCTCCTCACTACTGCCCCCTGAGGTCCGGAGGGTGAAGTGCAGCCTGTTCTCTCTCCATTGATGAATTCCTGCTCTGTCAGGTGAGAGCAAAGGCACACCAGAATATCCAAAAAGAGAGATATCTGCAAGAGAGAGCAAGAAAAATGAGAGGGAGAGACCAGTCGGAGAAAAAGAACTATGTTGTGTGTGATTTTACCTCAAGCGGTGGAGCTCCCGAATCCATGCCAAGATACGTACAGCCATCCAATGGTGACGAAACATGAGTCTGTAGGAGTTTCTCTGCAACAGTCCTAGAGAAAAACACCGGGCCGGACACCTGAACACCACAGAGACACTTTTAGGAAGCATCCCAAAAACAATTCAACATTTAATCAAAACATCCAATGCATCTTTAAACATAGTAAATATATACTTTGTTGGTATATACATATATTGCAACAAACATTACCATACAAATTCATACCAGGGGTACTTTCCCATCAGGAAGTGCAGCACAGCTGATTTTCTCCTTTGAGCCCTTATAGATAATATTACATACTCTGGACTGTAAAAGCAAGAATTAAAAATTCTAAAAGTATATGCAAATGCATAATAAAAAATAAAAAAAGCACCCTAATTTTCAATAACGCACCTCTGCATCAGTGAGATAGATGCCATGATTAGCAGCAAAACTAATGTCACCTGGCAACGCCACAACCCGAACCCCAGAGAACCCGTCCCATGAAATCACTGTAAAGAAAAAATTAAAGATTAAAAAAAGTGTTTTTGAAGCGGCAAACTGCTGATTTTGATACATAAAAAAACAAGGCAAATGCTTTTGAGATGTTTTGTTTGTGCATTAGATGTGTGATTGCATAAATATTAGCTCACGTTGTCGTGCTGGAATATTCAGGATCATATCAGTGCCACACACCCAAACGCCAGGTGGAGAACCCGCGCAAATCTGAAACAACAGGATGTTTCACTAAATGTGTATTTGGATAATAATGCTCTCACCTCATTGTATTGCATATATATAGAGTGGTGTGTGAATTTATGTACATTTATGTGTGAATAACTGTGTGTTCCGCTCACCTTTGTGGACAAACAGTCCAACAGCAGGTCTAAACTGCAAACAGCTCCTTCTACATCATCTGATCTCTGTACAGGCACCCAGCAGAAAGCCCTGCTGCAGGCGTCCCATGGGAAATCTCTGCCCTGAAAACACACATACAACTATTAGCACGTTTGAGAATCATTTTCATCTAAGATGTTTTTTTTTTATTACAGACCGTGTGAAGGATGAGAATGTGAGCTTCATCCAGAACATCTGCGTTCACCACCTAAACACAAACACACACATTTAAGGGAGTTCAAGTGTGTTTTAGAGGAAGATCCTTATGAACTCAAGTAAAGAGAAAACTGTATTGTGGTCATTTATCATGAACACAGAAATATTACAGTGCTGAATATGCAATATTTTATTTACAATATATTATTTATATTTATTTCCTAGTATAAACTGCTAAAAGATGTATACAGTATTGCTAATAGAAAATCATAATCTGGAAACAATCCTCTAAACCATACTAATGGGACAATACAAATTAAGACTTTTTAAAGAAGTCTCTTATGCTCACTAAGGCTGCATTTATTTGAGCAAAACTACAGTAAAAACAGTAATATAGTAAAATATTATCATAATTCAAAATAACCATTTTACTAGTTTAACATCTTTTGAACAGTCATTTATTTCTGTGATGGCAAAGCTGAATTTTCAGTAGCCATTATTCCAGTATTTAGTGTCACATGATCCCTCAGAAATCATTAAAAAAAAATTATAATACTTTTATTCAGCAAGTATGATCTAAATTGATTAAAAGTGACAGTAAACACATTTATAATGTTACAAATATTTTCTTTTCTTTTTTTATGTTGTTCATTGAACATACTACTCAAAGAATCCTTAAAAGAGTATCACAGTTTCCACAATTTACTAATATTAATAAACATAATAACATTAATAAAAACACTAAACAGTAAAAACGTTTTAATTGAGCAGCAAATCAGCATATTAGAATGATTTCTGAAGGAT